TTGTTTACTTGGACTACGTGTTTGTTGGTTTTTAAAATTAGATTGAGGTTATTATTTATTAATAAATTAGATAAAAACTACAAGTTCTATTTATACATTTTAATTTATAATAGTTCAAGATTACTATTCTAAATATTATTTAGAGTAAAATATACTAACTAAATATATGCAGTATTATACAAAACAATAAAAAAAATTCTTAATATATAGATACTTATATATAATATAAGTGCTGCCAAGAGAAAATCTGTCATTGGACTTTCAACTATATTTTGTATACAATTAGTCATCTATAGAAAATCTATCATTATGATAGAATTTTATAGATGACTAACTGTATACAAAATATATTGAAAGTCCGATGACAGGTTTTTCCTTAGTGGTACTCATATAATATATATAAAAGAAGAATATATTAATCAAATAATTTGTCAAATTTATATTAATATCCTTCAAATTTAACCAAATATTAACATGCTCAACTACAAATAATTTACTTATAGTTTGCTTAGGCAAGTAATTTTTATCATTAATATCTAATGCTGATTTAATAACAAATTGTTTTCTAGTTAGTAGATCTTTAGTAAATATATAAGCAAGTAGATTTTGAAAAATCATATTTTGACTAATATGAATATTTGATTTAAATAGAGATTTCTTCTTAATATGAATAGTTATAAATATATTTGTTTTTAAAATAGAGTTAGCAGAAGAATTTATAAATATTAATATAGAATTGACTTCATTTGATTTAGTGTTATTGTTATTTAAAAGCTATTTAGATGTTGGATATTGATATTTAGCTTTATCAAAAGATGAGATATTTGGTAAATTATTTTTATCAATATTTAACATTTTAGTAAAAATTACACAAGTTTATAATATAATATCACTATCTAATTTTAAATATTGTCTATCTTTAGAAATTAAACATCCTTGAATATATATGTCACAAAATAGAAAATTTTCATAAATTTTTTTTTTAATATTATTTAATGTCTTGACTATATCTGATTTAGTTTCAAGTATATAAATTTTCTTGTTTGCTCAATTGAATTTATTACTTTCTCAATAAACATATAATTAAACATTTTTTGGATATTCTATAGAATAGGTGGGCAATATAGAGTTCTAATCCAGATAAATCTGTTATCTGTTTATCCATATCCAATTATCCAGATAATCTAAATCACTCAGATATTCAGATAATCCAATAGGTAATCAGATAATTATCTGAATATTAATAGTAAAAATGGATATCCAAATAAATTCAGATTTGGTTATCTGATGAATAAATAGATAAACAGATAATAGATAGAAACACTAAGGCAATATTAAAATAAGCTTTACTAATAATTAGTAATTATTAATTTTTAATATCATAGTTGCAGAGTTTGTGGTATCTGCCTACCTATTTTATAGGACATCCTATTTTTTTGTATTTTATTTTAGCAATAAATGCAGTAACAACACTATCTGATTTTAAATTATAATGATTAGCCTTAGACATGGTTAAAACATAATAATATATGCAGCCTAATTCAATTTTTTCCACATTGTTCTAGAAATATATAGGATAAAATTTTTACTTCAATACTTCCAAAGTTTTGAATATTATCAAGAATATATAAAATTGCTAATACTCTGTCTAACTTTTTATATAACTTTTTAAATCAGTCATAACATACTAAGGTAATAAATTCTAAATAATAAAATATTAATTATAGTTAATTGATAGGCCACGAATAAATAAGAATGCTAATGTTAAATTCTTATAACAACATATATATATAATAATACAAAATCACTCTTTCCTATAATATAAAGTTTATTTTTTATTAAGCAAGTTTTTATAAGCCTCTAATAAAGGTTGTAGTACTAGTTTTTGTGATTCTAATGATAGTAAAATCAATAAAATTAATTTAGTATATTAAAGGTTATAGGCAATTTAAATTTAGAATCATGTATATTTATATGGAAGAGGTAATTTTGTGTAACTATATTTTATTATAAGATCTTCCCTATTGCTATTCTTATTTATTTGTGAACTACCAAATAATTTTAAAAAAACTTATCAAATAAATATTTAAATATTTTGTATGTATTATATCTTACTTTAAAAGGTTCTTTCATATTAATAGCTCCTGATTCAGATTTCTTTATGTTAATAGCTTCTGAGGATATTCTATAGAATAGATAGGCAATATAAGAAATAAGCTTCACTAATGATTAGTAATAATTAATTTTTTAATATCAGAATTGTAGAGTTGGTGAAGTTTGCCACCTATTCTATAGTACATCCGCTTCGGATTCAGGTTCCTTTATATTAATAATATCCAATTCAGGATCTTTTTCACTATTAATTTCTGAATCAGTTGTAATCACTTCATACAAGTTGGATGATAAAGATTCTAGAGAATTTTTAATTGTTAGATTTACTGTTTCACTTTGATTGTGTTAATCATAATTTTTAGCACATTTTTAACACATATTAATTAAGTCTTGATTTTTTGAAATCTCAACTTTAGTTGAATTTTTAGTCCAATCAACGAATTCTTGATTGTATTTAACTAGAGGTTGGAACCGGTTTTAATAATTCGGGTTTATCACATGAATTTTGTGATATTTTAGAATTTAATCCAATTAAAATTTAATAAATTCTAAAATATCACAAAATTCACGTGATAAACCCGAATTATTAAAACCGGTTCCAACCTCTATATTTAACTTTTTAAATACTAGCACCTATTCATGTAAAATATTTACTATAAAAGCTAATTTGATATCTGAAGCCTTTTTTAGATTTCTTGTAAAGTTTTATTGATTGACAAGAACAATCTTTTTCATAAACTTTTGCACAAATTAAACACACTAAACATATTGGGCAAGTGTAGGGTTGGGGGCACGAGAAATTTTCGGGCATGCCTCTGGCTTTTTTGATTTAGAGGCATGCTCTATAGGCATGCCCCCAAAATTTTTTATGTGACAACTTTTTACATATATAAATTTTTTGAAAAAGGGCATGCTTAGGGGCATGCCCAGAAGGCATGCCTCGTGCCCTATGCTCCCAATGCTAGGCAAGCGTTTAAACGAAATTTTAATAATGTTGACATTACTGCATTATAATAATAAAATTATTTGTAGAACAGGTATTATATTTATTATGGTAATTTTTGAAATTGGAACAACGATGTAATTTAGACGTAGATATTATATCAATATTATAGTAAATAAAAACCGAACGAATTCAAAAATATATTTAATTTATGACGTAGGCATTATATCAATATTACAGTAAATTAAAATTGAACGAATTCAAAAATATAATTTTTATTGAATTTATTATGCTGAAAAAATTACCGGCTGAAAAATTTTTCGGCTAATTTTTTTATAGGTGTCCCAGGAATAATGAAACAGCTGTAAACGGAATCTCCGGCATTTTACAATAGCATTTTGTGCCCTGTCTGGCATTATTCAATTTTAATTTATTTTGATTCAAAACAAATCTAAGATTTCCATCCTACTTAGCTATGCCAATAATCAGTTCCTGTGTATTACTAGGTGCAGGATCAGGAAAGCGGGAATAAAGAAAATTTTTGAAAATATTATTTATAGGCAAGAAATTTAGTTTATTTGCAAAAAAATTGTAAATTTAGAAAGTTTTGAAGATTTTATGTAAAAAGCACGATAATTTAGAAAAAAAAAAATTCTTTTCATTTTTAGAATTTTTTATATTTACATTAAAATTTACATTCTCAGATTCCCAGATTCCCGCGCGTGTGTGAATTGGATGATCACAGTAATTTGAAAAGCACGATAATTCGGCCAATCATTATTGAATTTAATAAGTTTTTATTGATTTAATTAAATCTTTCAAATGACACTAATTAAAGATGAAATTTGGCTTAATATTGAATAAGGATACTGCATCTTCTGTTAATGTTTCTGTAGAGTTCTTTTTTAATACCGCGTATTTTCGCGGAATAACGCGCCCCCTAAAACTAACATATATAGCTTCAAAATAACGCCCATGCGCGTCCTGAAATAACGCGCATCTTATAGCAAGGGGTGCTTATTTACAACAAATGCTCCGGAACTAGATTCATTTAGTATCAACCTAGCTCTGGAATATTTTTTGTTTTAGACAAGATGCTTAAAATTTTTACATTTGGGTATCAAAATAACGCCCATGCGCGTACTCAAAATAACGCGCATATACTCAAAATAACGCGAAGACAAGCGTTATTCCACGAAAATACGGTAATAAAGAGGACGAATATAACTATAATATTTCTGTCTGTGAATCAAAATCTAATGTAAAAAAGGCATACCAATAGCTAAAAAAAAAAAAAAACAAAAAACAATTCTGGGTTTGGCAACATTTTAATTTAATCGTAGTAATCAATAAAGATTGCAAAAAAACCCCCAATATGACGGTCTTTATACAACAAATTTTAAGATAAATAGCGCGAAAATTTCATACACTTCCTGCAACAATAATCAAATAAATACCTGCATACTTATTACAGTCGTACCTGAGTTATATGTACTACAACTGGATTGTATCTTTACCTTAGTTATATACATATTCGAGCAGATTTTTTTTTAGAAGTTTTATATATTGAGTATATTCCACCTTGGTTATATCTCCAAAACAATTAGAGAATAAAACGGAGTGATATAACCCAGGTATGAATGTATTTAATAAATACTAAATAGAACTTAAGTTTGTAATCCAATATAATTCTAATTCTGATTTCTTTGCGACGAGTGATCAGATTATTAATTTGAAAGCAAAAACTATTTTTTATTTTTATATCAATATTAATTATTAAAAAAAAATAATAATACAAATTTGTAATTCAATGATAATGTTTATATAGTCAATTTTCTATATTTCTAAAAAAAATTTTTTTAACTGCATTATAACCTTTAAAAAAAAATTTTTTTTTAATCCGTTTTCTTATTTTTTCATAAAATTTCTTTAATATCTCTCTCCTTTAATCATTTTTCTTTATCAAAGTTTGTTTGTTAACCAATTCATAATACAATCCTTTTTGACTTATTAAATCAAAATGTTTACCAGTTTCAACAACTTTACCCTTTTTACAAACCAAGATTAAATCGGCATTTTGAATTGTTGATAATCGATGGGCTATTGTAAGTGTTGTACGGCCTAAATTCAAAAGGAAAACATATTTCAGTAAATCTGCTTATTGATTTTATTAACTTTATAAATATAAATTCGAAATTGGTAATACAAACCTTTACTGGCTTTATTCAATGCATTTTGCACAACTTTTTCAGATTCAGAGTCTAGTGCTGAAGTTGCTTCGTCAAGTAATAAAATCTTTGGAGAACGAATTAAAGCTCGTGCTATTGCAACTCTCTAAAAAAAAAACAAAAAAAAAAAGTTTAATTTATACATTTTGTCGTTATGTGCAACGACTCAAAGAGCCAAAAAAGTTATTAACCTGTTTTTGACCACCACTAAGTTGTGTTCCTTTTTCACCTACACGAGTATTATACCCATCCGGTAAAGCTGTAATAAAATTATGGATATTTGCTTCTTTCGCAGCTTCTTCGATTTCTTCTGTAGAACAACCTTCTTTTCCATATGCCTTTTAGAATAGAAAACAATTTCAGACAATGAATTATCAATGAATGATTAAGGTTCTAAATAAATTAAGAAACAATAACATACAATGTTCTCTGCAATTGTCAAATCAAACAACACAGGTTCTTGTCCAACCAACGCCATATTTGCTCTTAAATACTCTAAATTCCATTGCTTTACATTAACACCCTCAACTTCAACTTCTCCAGAATTCACATCATAAAATCTTAGCAATAACGAAACAACCGTTGATTTCCCTGAACCTGATGATCCAACAAGCGCAATGGTCTTTCCAGAATATATTGACAAGTCCAAACCTCGAAGTATTGGTACATTCGGACGAGCAGGATAATTGAAATGAACAGAGTGGAATGAAGTATCTCCTAATACTGGTGCAGGACGGTCTTTGCCTTCGTTATCTGTAGGATCTATATGAGATTTTCTATCTAAAATTTCAAAGATTGAAAGGGCCGCAACTTTTGCTTTTGCGACATCTGGTGCGAATGTACTAAATCATAAAAAAAAAAAGTATTTATATTATTAACCCTGAGATGATAATATAATTTTTTAAGTTAAAATTTAATTTACCTCATTTGTCCAAGAGAAACAGCGGTAAACACAACAGCAAACATAACTCGAAGCATTTGTTGTAAATCATATTCATCAGCCTTGATTAATTGTGCACCATACCAAAATGATAGAGACCAAATAAAGTACAAAATTCCTTGAGATGTACCAAATCCAAATGATGATAGCAAACTTCCTTTAATTGCGATTTTATGTGGTTCTCTTATTGCATTTTGATATACTGTTTTGAAGGTTTCTTCTCTAGTTAATGCCGCAATCGTTCGCATATTGGAAACACTTTGTTGAACTATTTGACCAGTGCCTTCATATGCTGCGCGTGTCTGATAAATAAATATAAATTGTAAACTATATGGCAATTATAATCGATGAAAATAATAATAATAATAATAATATATATATATATAATAATAATAATAATATATATATATAATATCACATTATTAATTAATTACCTTTGAACCAAAACCAGTCATCGCTCTCATCTCTAAAAAGCCAGCAACTACAACAGCGGGTGAAGCAGCAAGGATGACTAATGTCAATTTCCAACCAAAACCAAAGGCAAGTCCCTACATTAAATAAATATTTTTTTAGCTTCTAATCTTTTTTTTTTTTTTAATAATAGAAAAAAAGTAATCACGATGCATACAAATCCAACAGCCAAATTAAAACAATTCTGTAAAACAGTTGCCATTAGACTACCACTTAACCCTTCAACTTTCGTTGCGTCTACAGCCAATTTTGAAGTTAACACACCAGTTCCATTTTTTTCATCATCAAAGTATGCAATTTCTTGGTTTAATAATGCTTCAAAAGTTAATCTTCTAAGACGTTTTGTGAGACGTTCACCAGCTAACGTGAACATTGATAATTGAGCAAAATTTGCCAATAAACTGACAACAGCCAAAAGTGCGAAACATAAAGACCAGAGATTTGCCTGTCGTCTAAGTTCATCAGGTCTATTGATAAAATTATATAATAAATTGTTACGTATAAATAATTATGAATAAATAATTATAATAAATAATTATAATAAATAAATTAATATATATAAGATCTTACTGATCAGTTCGTGCAAAAGCATTCAGAATTGAAGAAAACACCAAGCTGAATAAAGGCATAATGGAACCATTAACTTTTTTTAAATAAAATTAATAATATAATGTATTAATTCACAGTGAAACACGATAATTAAAATAATTAATTAATAATATAAACATACTTCCAGAACCAATACAGCCAATAAACATTAATCCATACTCAGGTTTACACATTTTAAATACTCTTGCTAATGGCATTTTTTCCAATAATTTTTTCTCCATTTCTTCTTTTTTGATTTCATCATCATTCTTTAGAGATTTAACAGTTGAACCTCTGGTAGACATTTTTCTTAAATGTAATTTATGTTTCTTTTCATCTATTAAAACAGTAGTATCATCATTAGAATTAGAACTTGATTCTTCTTCTTCTTCTTCTTCTTCATTTTGATTAATTTTTTTTTCTGTTTTCTTAGTTTCTAATTCTTGAGCTTGAACAAGGCCAAAATAAACTCCTTTTTTAGCAATTAATTCATCATGACGTCCAATTTCAACAATTTCACCTTTTTTCATAACAACTATTTTATCAGCATGTTTAATAGTTGACAATCGATGAGCTATTATTATACTATTTATTATAATTGATATGATTAAGTAAAACAAAAATATGTCAAGTATTCAACACAAAGAAAAATAAAGATTACCTTGTTCTATTAGTAGCAGCCTTATCTAATGCCTCTTGTACTAGTCGCTCTGATTCAGTATCAAGAGCAGAAGTAGCTTCATCTAATAATAATATTCGTGGGTTTTTGATCAAAGCTCTAGCAATAGC